CATGTGGCCTCCCTAGTGATGAAAGGGCTGTGGCACTCTCTCAAGAGGTGATAGACTTGCAGGGGCAACTGAGCTTAAGGCTCCACTCTTGCAGAGACCTTCAGCTGGCAGCACACAGGCTGCAATCATCCCAGGGAGACAACCAAATGGCCTGGGACTGCTAGTAAAATTTGCTCTCCACTTCCTTGCCTGGTCCCCCGTTCCCATGCTGCCCAGATGTACCACACATTCTCCTTTAACCCAAACCTGAGCCAGCATTAGGTGGGCCCTGCTGCTCCAGGGGTGGCCAAGCCACCTCCCTACACCTCCTGGTAGCAACTTGGCCTTTCAGCTGCTGCTCCTGCAAGACGTCTCAAAGTAGACCCTGAAAGCAGTGGCAGCTCTTTGTTACAAGTTCTCATCCACATATATATGAACACGGTCCAGAGCATGACACTGGTGTTCCCTGACAAGTGACTACCTAAGTAGATGGTCTCCCTAGATAAGGGAGATACCAAGTAGCTCAGGGGCTGGAAAGAACAGAGAGAGTGGAGACACAGAAAATGGTGGGGCTGCAACAGTCAGCAGTGTGGACTGAATAGACAGCACCTTCACCCAGCTGCCTTTCTCAGAAGGTTGCACTTCACACAGCAAACCAGCATCTCTGCCAGGGTAACTAGTAACACCAGTAGCTCCCAAGACTTCAGGGAAGGGAATGAACAGACCTGCCTGCTCCTGCTCCTCTGGCCAATAGCTTAGGTGAGGAGGCCTTCCAGTAGGCTATCATGTACGGTAGGACTCTGCTTTCTCATCTGGGCAGGCTTTGAAAAAAAATTGACTGTCTTCCCCACTTCTAATTCTTCCAGCTTCCTTTCAGTCTGGGAACCAGCTCCTGTTGGTATGCATGAGGCATGGTCTGAGCAGTGCCACCTTTTAAAGTCCTTCAAAGGCTAGACAAAAGCACATGCATCCCATCATTTTAGGAAGCAGAGGACACTTAGCCCAAGGAAGAGCTCTTCAAATTCATACTATGGGAGCTTCAGGTATGCAGAGAAGCCAAACATGGATTTCCCAGGCACCTATGGAGGCACTTATTCACACCATGAGATAGGTGATGCCAGTGCCTGACAGCAGCTGAGTAATGAAGTTTGATCACAGTTTTGGAGTAAGTCATTCTGGTGCAACCTCACCCTTGCCACTTCACAACAAATCCTCAGGCAAATCAAGTTGCTATGTTCAGGTTTGACCAACAAAATGAGGACCCCAACAAAGTGAAATTATACAGAAATAAATAACACCTTAGCCTAGAAGCCCTGATACCCAGCTTCTGGCAGCGTCCTCTAGCTTTTCAGTCATGAGACACCCAGACTGCTGACTGTCCCTGGGGAATAGGACTCTCTTGGCCTGTGAAAATGCTGAAAACACATAGTTTTCCCTTCTCTGCATCAACAGAGGAAAAAACATTTTCCTCCAGCATTCCCTCTTTTTTCTCTATTGCATATTTCTTCTTTTAGCTGAAGCCACACTTTTCAATTGAATTTTTTCTCAATTTAATTGCAGCTGCAACTGTCAAGGCACTCCATTTACCAATGAGCTTAACTATAACAAATGGTAAATTTGTAGTATAAATGAGAAGTTTGAAGGATACCCAGACAGCTCCAGTCACACAGCTAGACCCAAAAATAAAGTAACCACTGCACTCCTTGGGAGCCTGAAGCACTCCTCTGTAGCACTTTATTAAAGACAGGAGAGGAATACAGGCCATACTCCCCCAACTGCACATGTCTAGGAAGGGTTTTCAGAAGCTATGGAGAAATTCTGGACTATTATCAGCTCTCTCCTCACAGTACACAAGCTTGAGGAACTGTGCTTCTGTCTGTAAGGAGATTTAAGTCAGAAATGAGAGATAACTGTAAAGTGCCCGCTACAAACCCACACTGAGGGTCCACTCCCACCACATCACCTCACTCTCCTCATTCATATAGTTTCCACCAGGGCTTAAGATGTAGCAAAGTGCTTATCCTCTCCAAAGCAGACATCAGCATGTTTCGTCCCGGCACTGCTAAGCCTGAAGAAGCCTTCCCAGCTTCTCATCATCTGGCTCTGCTCATCTTCCATCATCTTCTTCTCAGCCTGGCCTCTACCTAGAATGCACACTGCTGCTTTCCACCAGGACATTATACATCGCATGAACAATGATTTTGCTACCTCTCCCACTCACTCTGCCAGCACTCCCTGGCCCAGCAACTATGTTCTTTCTTCCATGTTCTTTCTTCAGTAGCCATTAGGTAGATAAAAGCTTTGATTAAGTCCCACAGATAGGTCTGTTGGACATGTCGATGCAAGTTAAATTAGGAGTGACAGCTCTGAAGTCCCACAATGTAATCTGCAATATATAAATATCACGTCACACATAGCAGGCCAGCTCCAGGTTAGCGCTAATATTCTGTTGGTTGCTTGCAAAGAGCCTAGTGCAGGGATGAGATGCCAGAAAATTTTCCTCTCCTCATTTAGTCTATCTCAATTTTGCAAACATCTACAGGCTCTGATTTGTATTAAATTATCTTCTGGGATTATGTGCCCTCTCAGGCACTTCTCTTAGTAAACTATTTGCCTTAGCACAGTAAATAGACTATTTTAGCAATCCCAACAATTTACAATTCATGTTCACCAGTATAAACAATGTTAAATTATTGCATGAATAAAGGTATTTTGAGAAACAGTTGTCTTGAATTATTAACTGTCAACAATCACTTATGGCAAAGGTTCAACTTACCACACAAGTCAACTTGATGTCTACCAGGACTGCAAGGCAGACCTACAACAGATGGCAAAGCTGGTAAAAACTGAGGAGAGAATAGGACTAGGATAGACATATAGGTCAGGGCAGCAGCTTTCTCCCATCAACTGGTGTTAATCTTGAGCAGGATGAGATATATTAGAACAAAGAGAAGGCTGGTCCCTGCATGTGCTGCCTGACTTTCCACCTATTTCTAGGATGTGGTCATGCTCTGTGCTGGAATTCATAGAGCTGAGATGCTCATGCAGGGACTGACCAGGTGCAGGGACACATCCCACCACCGTTTAAATCCTCCGTCATAAATCACAGATCTCTAACTCTGACTGCAAGCTCATGTTTGAGGAATATATGTGTATTTTAGAAATAACTAAAGTGTACTAGAGTGTTAAGTCTGCTGCATAGTAAAGAAAACGAAAATACCCTGCTGCTGTTAAATGAGTGATAGGGCTCTATAGATGTTTGTTTGTCTTGGTTTATGACCAAACAAATTACATTTTGTAGACAAAAAAGTTAGCCCATGGTTACTCTGTTCTTTAAGAGTGATATGGACAAAGGGGAAACAAGGCAAGATTGGCCTGAAGTACATGGTAACTTTGTACAGCTCAATCTTTTCTGCAAGAACAGACAACTGGCAGCAGAGTCTCTGTTGATAGAGGTTGACAGCCTGGATGCCAAGTGTGTAACACAATGTGGCTGCAAATAGAGAGTGGTGAAAACATGCACCGGGGAGAGGGAGTATTTTGTACTGGCAGGCAAGATCAGTATTTCAGAGGTACCTACAGGCAAAATATCTTGCTTTAGTAATACTTATTGAGTCTTACAACTGAAGCCTCAAAATCTAAGAGGCCATGATTGTAACACTGGCAAGGCCAGAAATGGATGTTGCATTTGGTCTGTGTTCAGCACATCCAGACAGGCAGCAGCAGCAAGTCCCCCGGGGCCTCCAGCCCCTGCCCCAGCGAAACCACAGTGGGGCCAGTCTCCAGCTCTCCATGGCCCTGCCCTCCCTGCCTGGGAGGTACCCAGGGCTGGGGCTACAGACATTTTTTAGCTTTAGGGAGACACAAGCAGCCCCAACACATCCCATCTCTCCCCTCCAGGCTGCAGAGCAACCTGAATTCTCAGTCGCTGTTGCACCCTCTCCTCCCCTTCCTCTCTGGCCGCACGGCACAGAAACTGCTGTAAGAAAACATAAAATGGAACTCAAACAACACCAAGTTCAAAGCAGATTTTGTTTGGTTAAGTTTTATTTTTATGTACAGGGGTAGTATCAGCTTTAGCAATCCAAACAAATACTCCAAAAGGTACAATTTAGGTGAATCTTCTTTTGCCAAATCAGCATGTCTACCTGTGGCTGTTTCACACCTCTGCCAGCAGCAAAGCTGCTGCCGCTACTGACAAGAAGCAGCTGAGCAAGGGGCAGTAGATGTCTAGTGTTGGTGCATTGGTCTCATAACTCATTCGAGGTGGAGGGACGCTGCACTACCCCTTTGCAGCTCTCTTTGCAAGGGTAGCAGTCTGGTTTTTGTAAGGCAAATAGCTGCTGCTCCCAGCTGCTCGCACTGCCAAGGGGCAGAGGTGTCAGACTCTAAAAGCAGCATCTGACCTAACACATGGTCATTAAACACTGAGACCCAAAAGAGGAAAAACATGTCAAGCAAGAATGAACTCAATGGAAAAAGTAGGTTTGAGAGATGGCATAAGGAGCAGGGAATTGTGTGCAAGGAACAGTAGTGGAAATTAGCAGCCACACAGGCATAATTCAAATTCCCCTTTATATATACTGGTTGAAGCAAGTCCATACAAAGAGCATTTACGTGGCACTAAGGAAAAAAGGTTGGACAAAACCCCAACCATGAAAAAGAGTGAGGACTACAAAAGCAGTAGGAAATTAGGTGGAAACTAGCACATGAGAAGAAAAAAGGGTACCCAGGCCAGACCAGACTGGGATTAGTTTCCCCCACTCATAATCGCTGTCTTGTCAACCTGTTCAATATTTTTATCCTTCCTGCTCTTTGACAAAGTTGAGGATTGAGCTGTTTTCACTTCATCCTGAGAGCTGTGGTGTCCACCAGTTATTCAGGGAAAATTGTTTCTCAGTTGTAAACATACAGAGATTGAACCAAACTATATAATTTGGGACAAGGATCACCCCAAAGCTCAAACACAACTGCATTTAGGACCAGAGTTTCAGTTAAAACCCTTCACATGTGCGTTGACGATCATTATATTAACATTTGGGTTAAGGCAGTATATTACAACTCAGTAGTAATCATTCCTATGAACAGCTTTTGCAAATCCCACTCTGTCATTCCCACGGTCAAAAATGCAGTAAAACGCAGACATAAAGACATCTCCTAAAATCCAGAGTGGGCCGGTGCGAGTGCTGATGTCGAGAGACTGAAAGCCACTCATGCAGAAGGTTTGGTCTTCAATAGACTCCTGGAAGGGAAAGCCTGTGACCTTGCAGCCGCCTGCTCCAGCCCCAGCTCCAGGAGCAGGGACAGGGGAGCAGGGAGGCTGCGAGTACACACCTTTATGATGTATTGCTCTGCTGTCAGCTTGTACTCGTGGTGTCCAATCGTGAAGCTTATGTGAGGCAAGCTGGACAGTCTTCTGCAGTCTACAAGAAACTGTATGCGACGCACTGATTGGGATGGGATCAGTTCGCCTTTTTTTAAAGTATTGCCCTTTGAATTCCAGACTTTTGCAGCAGGTGATAGTGCATTTACTACAGAGAGACAGCATCAGCCTGACTTATGGCCCAACACTGCCCTCCAGCTTTCCAGCTCCTGCACCAGGTCAAACCATCCCAACAGCCCAGACCATTGCCCCAAAGCCCCTGGGACCCAGGGCTGATGAAAATCCTTGGGATCCCCAGAAGGACCAAGGTGAAGGAGAAATCTGATGTCCCCCCTGTATAACTCAGAAGTAAAACGGTGTGAGCCCCAGTGAACCCCTGTTAGCAAGGTTTGCTGAGCAGAAGTCCTCCGATGCTGTGGCTGGAACTGGGTGGAGGGAGCTGCCTCCAGCACATGCAGGGAGCACCCTGTGGCCACAGCTCACCCCACTCCCTCCCATAACATCATAGTTTTAGGGGAAAAAAGACAGTGAGGAATACAGCAATTTATGCTCTGCCCTGGAGTGGGATTTAAAGAGCAGAAGGACTAAACTCTGGCGTGGCCACTGATTTCCATAAATAATACATCCACTTACAGTAACACAGAGCATAATTTTCTTTCTAGTTATTTAATGTAAAGACTGGCGTGTTAAATGTCACTGCAGAATGCTCCAAACCCCAGAGGGATCTTTGCTGTAAACTAGTGTTTAAAGTCATTGTTTTAAAGGCTTCCTATAAGGAAGAATCTACTATTTTTGTTGTTGTTAAATCTGCTTTATGAAAACATAGCCTTAAATCTTGTGTATACTTACCAGGTGTCATACCACTGGAATAAAATAAACCATGGGGTACAGAGGACAAAGGTAAAAAAAAACCAAAACAGTAAGATGGTTTGTGGGATATGAGAAGCAAGACATAATTAATGTACATAGCTAGTACATCCAGAAGAAATTAATGCTTGTCAAAAGAGACAAAAGTGCTGGTAAAATCACTGATGGATGCACCCACTTATACTGGGATAAATTTGAGCCAGTATACTCAGCCTGTCTGTGGCTGCTACAAAAACAGTCACAGAAAACCGTATTTTCAGGATGCTTTTTTTTCAGAATCTGAGATGCTGGCTGAGTGCTCTTATGTCAGCACTGGAGTATATAAACTTATACTGCACTGACCTGTTTCTTGTTTACATTACACTAATATAAGTGCGTTGGAAATATGCATTTTCTCTATACCCATTAATACTACCATTATAAAACCAATTTGTTATTACAGCATACTGTTTGACGTGTATCTGAATATTTGTATTTTTTTAAAAAATGAAGGTTTGACTGAGAAAGAATCAGAAGCTTCAGGAGTTACACAGATGCAGCTCCTAGTCCTCCTCTTACCAATGGAGGCAGATTAGAAGTCCACTTTTGACTTTGATCTTTTCCCAGTGCACTGGGCAACAGTAACACTCTTCATCTCCTTGCAAGTGCAGTTTTGTGTCAGGATCAAGGCAATGGCGAAGTTAACGGCAACCACATGCGGCAGCTGCTTTACTTGGGGCTGCAGCGATGTGGTAACTACCCATGGGAGTCAGCCAAGGGCCAGCAATAAGGCACAGTAAAAGTAAGCTGCTCTCTCCCTGGGGGCGGGTGGGTTCAGCCATCTCACACTTGCTATCTCGGTGCTTTAGACATTACAAGGGCTCAATGCCATCTGAAAATTGCCAGCAGGGGGATGTGAAGGTGGCAGAGAGACATCCCAGCTTGGCCGCAGGCAAGGCGGTGGGAAAGCCTGACCTACCTTGAGCCACCTCAGTTCATGCAAGCCCCACAGAGAGGCACACGGGGCTGGGGACCACAGGTGTGGGGCCAGAGAGGCCATGAAGTGATACTTCAAGGCTGTTTTGGCCAGCTGGAGGAGATGGAGGTGCTCCTCAGAGGGCAGGCAGGGATGGGAGGACCGGTGGGGAGTGTCAGCCAAGGAGATGCAGGAAAATGGCAGGGAAGAGAGGAAAACCAGCAAGGAGACAGAGAATGAGGTTCAAGAGGGAGAATAAGAGACAGCGAGGCCTGTCCTGCACCCCATGGCTCATCTTCCAGGAGCCAGCATTCTGAGCATCACAGATGCGTATCCCTTCCGGGAGCCCTGGCATGACACCATCTGCTCTGCCGCAAGCCAACAGTGAGAGGTTCCGTCAGTGAAACCACTGTGGGGCTGCAATTACAAAACCTTTCCCTTTCCATTTGATGCTGATGGGGCCAATAGCACCGAACTCCTCCTGGCCTCAGTGAGCAAACAGCTATAGCCAGGGACTTTGAAAGGAAGTGCTCCTCTGATTTTCCAAAAGAAAAATATCTCTGATGTAGAGTATGGATCAATTCCTCAAACTGACACCCCCGTTATTTTCTTACACACCAGTATTGATGAGTACAGGAAAGGAGGTGGGCATTTGGGAGGAGGGCTGGGGCAGAAAGGCACACAGGTCAAAACCAGCATGGCTCTGAGTTCAGTGCTGTCCTGGAAATAAGACTTTCACTGAGACCTTTCTGAGCAATTATTTTAGTTATTTTCCTACCCTAGTAGCTCTTTGTGCCAAATACCAGTTTCTCTTCCTCTCTGGCCGTTTTCTGGCTGTATAGTTTTTACCTCTCCAGTATGTGATGGGCTTGCCCCAATATACTCCTGTAATCGTCTGATTTGTGAAGAGGGGCCGGTGATAAGAGAAGTGCCTGAGTCAACGATGGCTTCACAACCATGGGAGCAAAATGCCACCCAGCCCTGGATCTTTATGCTGCAAGTGAAAAACAAAGCATCTTTAAGCAAACGGCATACACACTGTGATGGAAAAAACATATTATTGCTAGCTAAAGTACCAGAGTATGGTCTGTAGTTAAAACTTGCTGCCAAGCTTTCTCAGTCTTAAAAGAAAATAACATCTTTAAAAGACAAAAAGTAATAAAAGGAAACAGCATGAGGAAGATTTCTCATTTATGGACTCACTTTTCTCTCTCAGGACTCCTACAGCCCTAACCATTTGTTGCCTGCTGATGAATTTGTCCTCACTCACAGGTATGTGTCCTCATTGATTTGTGCCACAGGAGAAGCTCCAAAGGGACACTGACTACTTTGACCAAGGTTGATAGGAGAGATGAGAGCAGGACCTGGAGCTGGATTGACTTCCTGGGTGCCTTAACCTCTTAACTGAATAGTCCACCGAGAGTCAATTTGACCATTGGTGTATCATATCAAAACATATTAACATGCTCTCCCAGAAATCAGTTACCCATGTCACAGCAGATTTCGAGAACTAATAAACCCCTGTCTCATCCTGGTGAACCCTCTCTTTGAAAGGCACAAGGGTAAAACACTGCAGCCAAGTCCTCCTGCATCTGTATCACTGGGTGTTTCTGTCTCTGCATGTTTCACCTGGGGAGCTGAATTCCAACAGGTATTTCATATATACAGACATACATACTTGTTCAGGTGTATTTGCCAGTAGCTTTTCTCTGTGACTGGGACCCAGTGGATTGAACCTTTGTAGAGAGAATGGTCTATTCCCCCTAGAATCAACTCACCACCATTCTCCGTGTCATCTCCTCTGAAAGCAGAAGACAGGTTAACACAGACATGAGATTGTGCCAGCCTGCACTGATGAGATTACACTTAAAAAGCAAAAGGCAAACCACAGCCCTTTCCAAATTCAGATACAGATGGCTGAAAGGGATTATTTCTAAATTATAACTGTCTATGTCCCAACTCAGAGCCTCCCAACAACCTCTGAGAAGATTTACTGTAGGCTGCCAAGGGCTAAGATAAGCATCAGGAGCAGGTTGAGCCAGATGCTGTTCTCAGCTCAGAATAAACATTAGGTAAATTGCTGGAATTACAGCCAGGTCTAGATGAGGTAACAACATTTCTTTTCTGAAATGTGGCTCCTTGGGTGTAGTACGACATTTCTGTTCATCTCCCCTGGCCAGAAGGAAACCTCTAGCAACTCAAGTGTGGTGAGTCTGAGCTGGGACCTTTTCTTTTGTTTATGACCATCTCCAACAAGAATAACTCTTCATCCAAAAATTAATGGTCCTCCCTAGCACATTTTTCCTTCTCACTCCATATTTTTCAGTGTCAAATTGGAGGAAAAAAAAAAAAAGGTAAATTACTTTCTAGAATTGAAGATTTATACAGTTGCATGGTTGTCTCAACAATTAAAATAGATTTGCTTCTTTTGGAGGAGTGTCACTTTAAAGACTGACCTTTCCAGATAGAATGAGAAGACCGGCTCCTCTACCAGCTCCTGGTTCATGATGCTGTCAAACACGGGCAGAGCATTGCCCACAGCTAAGGAGGGGTAGCCCAAGCCCAGCACGCCATCAAAGTGGGCAAGGGCAAAAGTTGTTCCTGGTTCAAACACTGACTCGCCAAAGTCCTGTCCCTTGATGGAGATGTTACTTATCTGTTTGGAACAAGTGACAGTAAAGACACTATCAGTTACAACAAATTAGCCACATTCCAGACCCATATCAATGGATTCATTCAGTTTCTAAGGCCTGGATATCCTTGTGTGATTTACATCAACATAATAGGTGCCCAGTTGGTGGGTAGGCTGCACTGATTCCTTCTAATACCTTAATTCTGTGGATGTTTTTCATAAACCCAGGACAGAACCCAAGGAGGGAAGCAGAAATGCAAAATAAAATCTTAGGGATTTGTCCAGATAGCCCAAAGGCAGAGCATGACCCACATGTCTCAGCACCCAGCATGGTACGACCTCACCCTGCCCTTGCCTGAATCAGGCAAGGTCTTCCAGGGCAAGGTCCGTATCTGAACTGCCCTGAAAACAGTTGACCTGGAAGCTGACACCCATTTTAGGTGGAGGCTCACCTGCAGTGTGTCTTTGCCAGCAATGCCCAGAAGCTGTCCTGTGCCGTACTGCAATGAGAAAGCTTCTCCGCCGTGCTCATACGAATCCGACAGAAAGGACTTAAATTTCTGGTGCAACCCTACACAAAACAAATGACACTTGTGCACCAAGGAAAGGTCCCAGCACCATGCCTGCTTCTTGATGCAGAGCCGGCCAAGTTGCAGACAAGGCAGGTTTTTGCTTGTCTTTAGGAGGAAGGCTGGTTGATGGAGGTGACCATTCCTGCACTGGCACCCCTGTTTTTCTGTATCTCAGAGGTTATTTTGGTTTTTAAAGGGAAATCAAAACAAAAATGGGCATTTGCACCGCTATTTGTAGCTCTCCCAGGTTTATTTTTGTGCCTTTTACATCAGACACCTGGTGGTGTGGAGGCATGTTTGGCAGCTGCAGTGAGTGCCTGCCCTGGCTGCGGGGCAGTGTGGAGGGGCAGAGATGGAGGAGCAAGCTGGGGAGGGGAGAGCGGACCTCGGGGGTGCTCCAAATCCTCCCCTCCCAAATCCCTGCTGCAGGAGAGCTCTTTGGGAAAGGAGAAATGGCCAAGGAACTCGAGACATGAGGAACAGAAGGGAGGGTAACGTTTCTTACTGCACGCTTCACTGATGCAATAAGCAGAAGGGACCCAAAAATTGGAGGAGCCGGTGTCAAATACAACGGTGAACCTCTGTGGCGGCGTGCCGACGCTCACAACTCCGTAGTACTGTGCCTGGGGGGGGGGG